AGTACAACATACCTATCCATTGGGGATGTATAAAGATTAAAAGTTGGCCTTTCTGTAATAAATCATTTGAATCTTCAGGATCAATAGTAAGATACACGGATGGAATTAATTTTTGCATACTACCTTTAGGAAGTTATAGTTGGGAACGGTAACAGGTTCATTATCTGATTGAATAGTTTTAAAGGTCCGTTCTACTGCTGGAACACCTAGAGGAACTTTTGCTTTATCATCCTGTAATATGATCACAGAATGTGAAGCAAAAGAGGTTACGAATTGTTGTGCACTTTTAACTGATAAAAGATAATAATGTTTATCAATATGGTCTTTTATTTTATTTCTTGAAACTGACATCACCTGGATTGACATAGAATGATGATATCGTTTTGCACTTAGAGAATTGATGCGCTGAGGCCAGAGATACGTATCAAGACAGGAACGTGACATATAAATTTTGTACTTTTCTTCTATTTCAGTTTTCAGGTGAATGGTAGTATGCACTTTAATTATCTTTTTGTGCAGCGCTTCCAAATTCTACACATAAATGAAGTTGCATAGGAAGATCAGGATTTTGTTGAAGAAAAGAAGGTCGCCCTGGAGAATCATAACGAATAACTTCATTGCTTTCTTCTAAAGCCTTAAGTTTTTTTGCTCAACACTTTGCTTGCGCAGCTGCATGATTTCTTAATTTTTTTCCCTTTTTTTTTTTATCTTTAATTATTTGTTTAGTTTCTGTAATTTGAACAAGAAAATTATGACGAAGTTGTGAATCTCGTGCAATACTATAAAGATCATTTAATTCTGCAAGTTTTTCTTCAGCGGTTTTTTGTTTTATGAATGATGATTTTTGTGCTGATATATTAAATCGTGGCTCTTCTGTAATAGTAATAGGTGACTTATCGCTTTCTTTTGAATCAGATTCATAACTTTCTTCCTAATTATTTAATGTTTAGTTCTTGAAGTAGATAAAAAAGATGTATACAAAGGTGGTTGAATAGAAGTAGCGAAGTAAGTGTTTATAATTTGTTTAAGGTCTTCTTCTTTTCTTTGCACTTGCTTCCATTCATTTTGTGTATCAGCAAATACAGTTTGGGCATTTGGAGATAGATTGCCTGTAGATACAGCTAATTTGTATATATAGGCATTGCAAAAATTCTCATAAAGGTTCGTGGAATTCTTGAATATATATTTTTTATTATAACGTGGGTACTAAAAAAGGTTTGCATTTGATTATACGCAACAGTATTATGGTAAATATCTTAAGTCTAATGACTCATGAAGATTCAAATGATTTATTACAGAAAGGCCAACTTTTAATCTTTATACATCCCCAATGGATAGGTATGTTGTACT